CTAACCTAAAGCATTTACCATTTACCAATCACCACAAAATTAACCAAAAAACTAAAATACTTAAATACTACTAATTGAAGCTGCCAGTTGGAAATTAGAATCAAGACAAGTAGAACTTAGGTCTTAGAAGTAGGCAGTAGCCAAGTAGGAACAGTCGAACAGAACAAACTTACAGAAAAGAGGCGAGACTCACTCGAGAGCACACAGCCACACACACTCACAGTCCACAGACATAGTCGGCAGTCGTAGGCTCTCGCCCTCTCGGCGCTCGCAGTCGGCACTCGGCAGTCGCAGCCTCGCAGGTCGCAGCCTCGCGGCTCTCACCGTCCGCCATAGCGCCACTGGATCTGGTCCCGTCCGGCCACTGGATGAAGAACAGAAGAAGAAGAAGAGAAGAAGAAGAACTGAAGGAGCTCGTATGCGGTAATCGATTTCGATTCGGTATGCGGATGTCTTCACACTCACACGAATCACACTTCACTCTTCACAGGCTCACAGCTTCACTCGTTTCTGATTCAAAGGGGCCTCTTATCTCTTGTTGTTGGGGGCCCAATTACATCTAAAAAAAAATACAAGTAAAAAAAAAACTTTTGGGCTTTCCTATCTAATTTTTGTTGGGGGCCCAGGACCCCAACCACCTTCTCCTGCATCCGCCCCTGTAAGGTTCTACCACTACAAACAGGGGCGGATCCAACCTTTAAGCACCGGGGGAAAAACCCCCAGTCAAAAACCAAAAATTTTTGTTGACTAGTTTAAATTTTATATTTTCACCCTCATCTTACATGGTTTTCCCCCAGTCCCACATGATCATATACTTCCCTCCCCAAATCCCATCAATTTCCTGGATCCACCACCGACTACAAATGTTCTAAAAACCCATTTTTTGTTTATAAAAAGATACATTTGATTCACATATAGTAATTTGTTTGCACTAAAAAACTAGTTAGTAATAGCACGTTGTTTACTAGATAGAGTGGTTTTTACACATAAATATGCATTAAATTGTGATTTTGTAACCCGCAAGACACCACAATTGAATTTTCAAAAATAAAATAGAAATCGGGCGCTAAAACCCAAGCATCAAAACCAGATTTGAAATCGAATTCAATAATCAAACTCTGCATTCAACACCCAAATCTTTTCTCCCCCAAACCGGAAAAATCTTTCCAAATGGGTTGTGTTTCATCGCATTTGCTGAATCATGATGATGATTTCACCCAAATCGGTACCTCCGCCTTCAGCCACCATATCGTCTCTCTCACCTCCACCACTTACGGCCTCTTGACCCTCGACCCATCATCTTCTCCGACAACCGTGCCTCCTACTCCGCCACCACGCTTCACCCTCGGCTCAATCTTCCCCAGCCCGCTCTCTGAACCGAGATCCGACCCACCGCCTGAAGTCATCAACTCATGGGAACTCATGGCTGGTCTCGATTCCACCACCGAAAGCTTCCGTTTCTCGCCACAACCCTCTAAACCATCCCCATTCAGATACGCCCTTCTCGATAAAGAAAACCTAAACCCCGCTACAGAAAACTCAAACCCTAAACACAAAAACCCGATCTCTATAAAACCCATGCCGACAAAACCCGTTTTCCTAAATGGGTTTGAAGAGATATGCCCGCCGAAGGGAGAGAACAAGATAGTGATCTACACGACGACATTGAGAGGGGTACGTAGGACGTTTGAGGCCTGTAATGCCGTCAGGGCGGTGCTCGAGGGATTTGGGGTGTTTTTTTGCGAGAGAGATATATCAATGGATCGAGGTTTTAGGGATGAACTTTGGGAGCTAATGAAGGGGAAAGATAAGCAAGAATTGGTGCCACCAAGAGTGTTTGTAAAGGGGAGGTATGTGGGTGGAGCTGATGAGGTTTTGAAGATAGTAGAAGATGGGTTTTTGGGGCATTTACTTGAAGGTTTGCCTAAATTGAAACCTGGGTATGTATGTGACGTTTGTGGTGGTGTAAGATTCTTGCCATGTTTAACCTGTAATGGAAGTTGTAAGATGTTGATGGTTTTGAAGAAAGAGATGGATGGAAAACAATTGGGAACGACTGTGACTGTGAAATGTTCTGATTGTAATGAGAATGGACTGGTCCGTTGTTCCATTTGTAGTTGATCTTGATCCATCATCCAATTCTGGTTTGTATTTCATATTTATCCTTTCTTTTTTAGGTTAACAATCTATAAATAAATTCAAGATAGTATCTTGTGAACATGTAACTAGTGGGAAATCTAACCAAACTATCATACTTGCACCTATTTGCCTCGAATTGGTTGGTTTTCTTGTAGTTCTGCGTTTTAATTTGCAGTTCTCTTATAGTTTTAGAGCTTCGTTAGAGTCCCATATCATCGTTAAGTCCCATATCAGTTAGATTTGATCATTTCATATAGATATATATGTTAGAACTTCTTTTCATGCCATGCCTTTTTAAAGAGTAATATGGTGGGTTCCACGTATTCCTACGTTATCAGAGCCTCTAGGGGCTCGCCTCTTTAGGGAAATATGTACTCGCCTGGCCCACTAACCCGTTTAGCATCCTCTCAAAAACACTAGTACAGTCTGTGTCCGTCTTGACTCCATTGGAGGGGAGGGGGTGTTAGAGTGTTACATCGGCTAGATTTGAGCCATTTTTCTCAATATAGGTTGGAACCTCCCTTTTCTCTTCAAATACTCTTTTGGAGAGTAAATCTGCGGTTACACATATTTTCTCATGGTATCAACCCTCACGTGTCTTGTCTCTCTTGACACTCGAATTAATCTGTACTCTCTAGCTCTCTCACCCATCTAGGCCCCTTTCGACATACAACCTGTGGCCGTTTAGCCTCTATTGGAGGGGGCGTATTAGAGTCTTACATTGGCTAGACTTTACCATTTCACCTCAACATATGTTAGAGCTTCTCTTCTCAAGGGCCTATTTTGGAGAGTAATTTGATGGGTTTTACATATTCTCAACTTCATTTAGCATCTGCAAACTGTTTTAGAAGTATGGTTGTCCTGAATTTGCTGCAAAGGTACTGGAAGTTTGGAACTTTAGAAGAGCCCTTCTCTGGCTATCTTTGAGAACCTTTTGTGTTCTTGATTGATGAGAAGTGGTTACAGGAGATTCAAAAAGGTGTTTGAATCCTACTATCTGATTGTAAACCAGTCAAAATTGTGCATTTCCCTCTTGGAGTTGACAATCTAACTGAGGCCTTTTGATCTACCGTCTCTTTGAAGTTCTTTTATGGTTTTCTTTTCATAGTTGTAATGGAGAAAATGGTATTGTGACCAAAGCACCACTGTGAAAAACCAGTTTGAACCCCTTCAAGTTTACTGGGAATTTATCCAGCTGTTCTTGAGGGTTTGTTGGGATTAGTCTGAGGCGCGACTAGCAAGTAGGAGTGCTCAAAAACCCGACCATATCAATCAACCCAACCCGAAGCAATCCGATGTCTAATTGAGTTGTAAAATTGTCAAACCGTAGGTATTGGGTTACTGTTATTTGAACTTAACCCGATGAATCCGATATTCTTTTATTTCTTGGATTTAATATGATTGTTGAAATTTCTTTTAATATATACATTAGACAATTACACTATCATGTATGCTTTTCATATAGACATATTTTCAATCTATTCACATCTCTATATAACTCATTCGTATATATGTTCAGTAACTGTATACATATATATGTAAATTGAGAAAATTAACTGAATGCGATATACGTAAGAAATACGGATAAGTTGTATCAAATGGTTGATGATGGAAAAAAGATTAAAGTGTATATAAATGACTCAATTAGCGATTAAAAAAAGATTAAAAAAATCTTTTTGAGCTTATATAAATGACTCAATTAGCGATTTTAAAGTGTATTTCATAATATATTATCAAAAAAAATCTTCAAACACGATTTTTACATTTAAACTTTATTTTTGGGAAAAAAAGATGTGACTGATTTGCACCCGGCCCGAGACCAGGACTGGTTCTAAGAACTGGGCTTTTTCCATGGAGATCAAGTTAGGAGTTTTTGGTCAAGACCGGTTACATTGGGACTGTTTACAAAATAAAAATCTCGAAACGAGAGCGATTTAGACTCAATCTAGCTCAGTGTAGCCTCAGATTTTGGCCATCTCTACTTTGAGGTAATGTTTTTGTTACATGATTGGTCGCTTTCACTATCATGTGACCCTTTTATGTAGTTATTTTGGTCAAATCACTTGAATGTGATTTGACATCTTAAAGAAAGAGTAAACTACAAATCTAGTCCATGTTTTGTCCTTATAATTTTGAAATTACAAGATAACTTTTTACATATAAACCTTTGGATTTGGTCTTTTCTAATGGTTGCTAAAAAATTCCATTAAATGTGGAACATTTTTGTTCTTTTATCAATTTTTTTTTTGTATTTTATACAATAAAAAACAATAGGGACCAAGATCATAAAATTGATTTTGATCAGGAAAATGACAGAAAAATAAAAAATCGATAAAAAGACAGAAATGTCTCGCATTTAGCAAGATATTTAACTATTGTTAGAGGGAGGAATCAAATCAAAAGGTTTTTGTTGACCACAATGGTCATCTTGTAATTTCTAAACTGCAGAGACGAAAAATGTTATTTTTGACAAACTATAAGGACTAAATTTGTAGTTTACATTTAAAAAACAAAATAAAATCCTCTGTCACGGGATTTAATTTATTCGTTAATGGAACCTTCATCTTCTCCGTTTTCTTTCTCAATGTCTCGTTTTTTTTTTACATTTTCAATAAGAATTAGTTATCATTCAAGTACGACAAATATTATGAACATATATCGTTAAATGTATAAATTTATTCCAAAAATTTGTGATGTAATACTTATGTTCTTACATTAAAACCCTAGATCAAACTGTAAATCAAAATAAAATAAATACCAAAAAACAAAATCTCTAAAATCAATCTCTCCTTGCTGTGTTGCATATGACCCTAAAATCAATCCCAGCAAACCCTTAATCCTAGTAGCAACACAGTGGTTAGTAGTCAGTTGATCAGATCACCAAAGTAGTCGTTGTCATGGAGCAGGTGGTCGTTGTCGAGCTTCATCATCAAGGACCAACTTGCAAATAAATTGATTCGTCTCCCTGTGGTCACTAGGCTTGATTCACTGAATTCTCTTTTCCTCAATCGACAATTTTTTTTCACGATTTGTTTGATTGCTGTCGTTTGGTTAAAATCACATAGATAAAAAGATAATGAAGAAACCATTGGGCATATTTCTCTTTTTTGTTTTTGTCTTGCTATTTAAAGAGCTATGCGCTTCTCAATAAAGTATCAAAGTATTTTGATCAATTATGAGTTTTTTTTAAGTATATAATATTTATATACGGCAAATGCAACAAATAAACTTATAATATTTATATACGGCAAATGCAACAAATAAACTTACACATCCTCCTCACATTTGGTGAGGTTTGAACCCTTGACTTCCTAGGAGGCCAAGGACTATGATATCACTAGGCCAAAAGTCATTTGGTAATTATGAGTCTTTGTGTTTGCTTAATTCAACATAAATGGGTTAAGACTTTCGGGTCAGGTAGAGCAAGGTTGTAGATTTGGTTCGAAGGGGCTAATAACATTGCAAAACACTATAATGTTAATGGTTAACATGTGTATGCTTATTTAATACTTGTAAGATTTAACGTTAATCGATCTCATTTCAATGCAGCTTTTAGATAATACCATTTCCGACAAAATTTCCAAAACGAAAAACTGAAAATTTTGGAAATTTTAGGTGAACTTTCTGCTCTAACAGATTTTTCTTAACTTTCTTTAAAATGAATAAAGTAAGAAAGAAATATTAAAAATAAATGTTTATGAGAGAAATAATATTTTATTAGATGTTTGAAATATTTAATAATATAATTAATGTTATAATCTCTAAAATAAAGAATCTGTTAAAATTGATTGTAGATTTTTCTAATGATTGAATTTTTGAAGAGTCTGTTGTTGATTATAAAACCAAACTGGAAGGAAATTAGAAAAACCCTGAGGTATTTCACAAAAAAAAATATATATATACATTGTTTTCATTTACTTTTGGTTGATTTTATGAATATCATTTTTCTTTCGATACGAACAATTGGAGATGAAGATTCATGGTTAAAGAGCTATCAATCAAGATTGTCCCAAACTTGAAAACTTAGATGTAGCGTAATTTGTTAGATATTGGAAACATGATATGAAATTACTTGGATAATTCAAGGATCGTGTATAAAGCACTTACCAAAATCTGTGATTTTCGACCCTATTGCCTGGGATATCATAAAATCAGATTTGGGATAATCCAAGAACAACAATATGGATTTCAGACAAAATCCAAGATCACAAACACATAATTCCTTGCTTGTTTATGTACCTTAAGAAACAAAAATCCGGCAGAGTAACAGTATGCACGAAGATCGTTCCTCTGCCCCTTGGACCCCCCCCCCCCCCAAGGAGATTCCCCTTGGAACCCACCAAGGGCGCTGCCCCTGGACCCATGCGTTCCCGAGATCAACTTAACTTATCCGAGCGTGCACTCCGCATCTCCAGACTTGAATTACAAATAAGTTTAATTTCGGCTATCATACTAAATGGCTTGATGACACTAAAATCACAAACATAATTCAATTAAAACTGAATTTTTATACATATGTTTCAAATTTAAACTGCAAAAGTATAAAAAAACTCGTTGGAATGTTAATTTGTTGACTTTTAATATTTAATTAATGATAAATTTATATGGATTTAGATGCTTGTGACTCTGTGAATCGATTAATAATACGTACATTTGTATCTCTATATCAAGGATGGTTGGTTTTGATATGGATAGATTATGCTTAGAGTTGGATTAATTTCATGAATACATTTGTTACATAATTTGATTTGAATTGAACAAATATGTGAAATCAATTTAATTACCGAGTTAGTAACTAAAAGTGCGATTTTGACATTTTACTGTTTTTAATAAAGTTTTATTTTTATCCGGTTGTTGTTAGTCGATACGATTTTTAAACTCCAAATGTTTTGAAATAATGAGATTTTGTCATATGGATTGCTCACTACGAAGAAGAAAAATGTTCTATTTATACATACCTTTAATCTAAAAACATGTACTGTAACACCCATGATTTTTAGAAGCCTTCTTTTGGGTTTACGATGTTTGTTTGACCATTAGAAAGGAATTTTGATAATGTTTTTATATAAATATAATACTAGAACTCTTGAGGATCGGATTGGGCGCGAAAAACG